TGTACACAATGATTTGAGGTTTCGCCAGGAGAACGTGTATAAGCGGCAGCTTCCATGTAAAGTTAGCCAACCCTCACGGGTTGAAAACAGTATTTCCGGTCTCGAAGTTTTCATAATAAAACCAAAGATCAAATTATTTAATAGTGATATCTGCAGTACTCATCCACTAAAAAACATCAGTTTATCCTTGTTAATTACGCGACATTAATTGGTTTAAATTGTGTACAATGCTTTTGTGTTTTTCCCATAGGTTTTTCCCTTTCGATTCTGAGAGACACATTTCTTTTTTCAGAGGTTTTGATAGGCTAAAACATCGAACTACCCATAATCCTGGATGTTTTAGCCGCAATGCACGTTGGGATTTGGTGTTTATGCGATATGAAATCGGAAAACATTTAAAAAAATTAAATAATACTTTATTCCGAGTGTGCTTGCTTTTCTCTTTGGAAGTCATCACATAACGGCATTGTAATACACGATTCGGCTGCATTAAATATTACATATCTGCCGTAGTTCTTTATTTATAGAGCCCTGATTAGAAGACTTCTGGACAAACTGGAAGAAATGCCGCCGAAACTGAATACGTGACTGATTTAAGGGTTGTTTATATTTCACATCATTAATCAGAATCTGCAAAGTAACAAAAATAAATGTAGTGGAGTAAAAATACCAGGTTAACCTCTGAATTGTAGTGGAGTAGAACAAAGTAGTACATGCTGCTGTAACAAAAACATTTCCCAACTTGGGATCAATAAAGTATATCTTATCTTATCTTATCTTATCTTAAGATGATCGATGGCTACTGCCATATTTGCAAAATGTGCCTCTGAACCTTGACAAGTGCATGTTTCAGGCTTATCAATTAACAACAGGAGGGGTCACAGACATAAGACCAGCTGTTAAATAAAGCTCTTCTGACCTTAGCTGTCATGTGGGTATATTAATGCTGCCCATTATGGACACAAGCAATTTTCACCCATTTATTAATTATATGTTTTAAATTTGATAACACCAATGTGTTTCGTATCCCCTAAACCTCCAGGGGTGTAAACAGTTTGATACTGGCAACTTCTAATTGTGGGAAATACGAAAACGTCTTTTAAAACTACAATTCCCAGTAGAGACGTGCCATAGAACATGTTGCGAAACACACAATAGCCAGCATGTGTAGTTCTGGGGGGGGGGGGGGGAGGGCTGGACTGGACCCGTCCAAGTCCAGTTTTGGATAGTCTGTCGTGGTTCCATTCCATTTCAAAGAGCTGTTTGACGCTCGGCGTAACTTTGTCGCACTGCCACTCCAACATCCAATCATAGAGCTTGAGGACTAATCACGGGGTTTGTAAAGCAAGGCGGATGTTGTAGTCCCAAACGATAGCTGGGGATTCTGGGTAGTGTAGTGTCTTCGGAAACTCTGTAGTGTCTAAAGTCAGAAAAAACTATTTGTTTCTCCGAATCGAAGGTTAAAAACACAAAAGCATTGTACACAATTTAAACCAATCAATATTGTGCAATTAACAAGGATAAACTGATGTTTTTTAGTGGATGAGTAATGCAGATATCACTGTGTAATCATTTGACAGTGAGGGGAATACATCCGGTTTTATTATGAAAACTTCGAGACTGGAAATACTGTTTTCACCCCGTGAGGGTTGACGCTAACTTTACATGGAAGCTGCGTAAAGACGTAGTACACGTTCTCCTGGCGAGACCTCAAATCATCTTCGTAATATCTATCAAACTATAGATCCTACACATCCACTGGACGTAGATTATAAAAGTACACTATACACTTCTCGCTAGAAATCTAATCAAAAAGCATTTTAATGGCCAAACTATTGCACAATTTAGGATTTTCCAGAGAGGGTTATTTGTGAATAAAAGAATCTCCGGAGCGTTTGCAATCAACGGGAGCATTTTGTTTCTTACACGACCACTAGAGGTGCTACACTTTAAAACGTGACTCTAGGTCGTAATAAGCTCCTGAATAATCGACCTATATGGTCGTTTTTTGTAGGAGGACAGGCTGATATAATAATGTGTAATGAAACAAATAGCAATAACTGTATTGCATTGTTTTCTTATGCGCAATTACTTCATACTGTCTTTGTCTTTTTCGTCCTGCATTTATTGTGGCCCCCTCAGAAAGTAACTGGCCCCAGCCTGGCCCCCCCAGTCAAATTGGTCTAGAACCACCACTGGTACGCATTCAAACACTTTTTTTTTTTACCAGCTGTTCTGTATACTTGCAGGTGCAACTATGTGGCTTTTATCCTGGATAAAGTGTTTAAGTCATGGATGTTTAAAGTTTAACTTCTTCATATTTGTCTAATATTATAGTTTACTTTTCATTCAGGAAGTATGACGCTGCGCTGTCAGTATGCTTCTCCATGTTTGTGATTGGTCAAATGTTGCTAACCCCGCCCCTTTTGAGTTAACGAGTTGATAACCAGCGTTGTAGGACCGTTTAGCGAGAGCGTGTTTGTTTTGGATCAGGTAAACCGGGTAACTCAAACATATAGTTGAACCGGCTTCGTAGTACAGGCCTCTGGTCTCACACTTCACAAAACAGGGATAAAATTCCTGCTTTATGCAGATGATTTAATCCTGTTAAGCCCGACAAAAGAAAGACTTCAACAGAGTTTAAACACAGAAACATTTTGACAATGTACTGACTGAATGCTCACAACCTGGCCATAGAAACAGGCAGGTACAAAAAAACATGGCTGTCAGAAGAGGAGCGATCATCATGCCAACAGTGTGAAGGAACTGCTGTGGAAACAGAGCAGCACTTCCTCACACAATGCCAAACATTTGAACCTGTACAGAAATAATTCTTCCCAAAACCTAAGCATCCTCAAATATTTAAAAAAGAAAATGAAAAACTAAAGATATTACTCAAAGAAAGCTGCATTCGTTTGTCTCTGCTTGCCACAGTATGAGGGAATCGGACTGACCTGCTACACCAGAGGCCTGTACTACGAAGCTGGTTCAACCTAACCTGGATATGTTTGAGTTAGCCGGTTGGCCCAATCCAAAACATACGCGCTCTGGCTAAACTGTACTACGACGCTGGTTATCAAGTGGATCGCTCAAGCCAGCCGTGTCCTATCTAGTTAGGTGCGCGTTCACATGAAAGGGGTGGTATTTGGAGCATTCGACCAATCTCAAACACGGACAAGCGTACTGACAGCGCAGCGTCATACTTCCTGAATGAAAAGTGAACTTTAATATTAGTCAAATATGAAGAAGTTAAACTTTAAACATCCATGACTTAAACACTTTATCCAGGATAAAAGCCACATAGCTGCACCTGCAAGGTGAATACAGCTGGTAAAAGAAAAAGTGTTTGAATGCGTACATTAACAGGTTTATGAAATCACTGCCCCGTCCAAGACACGAGTGGATCTGACTTTAATTAGGAGAATTTTACTCAAGTGTTTCGTCAACTTAATGTGTTGCTTAAAATAATACTTCTGCATACAGTATGTGACACTGTGAGTGTTGCACGGCCAGATACGGCTCAAGAAGCTGACTCAAATAAGGAAATATATGATACATTATGATGTGATATGATATGAATGATAATGGGACACATCGACGTCTGCACTCACAGTGCCGCGGACTGTACTTAATGTTACTCTGATCCGGTTACTTATGTCGTGGCAGATATTTAAGTAAGCTTTCTTAACGCTAATATTATAATAGTCAGATTGCTCTGAAGATGGGAGGGGATATTCTATTAATTTTCACGTTCACACAGTCAGTTGATTTTGGCCGGCCGTCTTTCCTGCAACGGCAGTTTTTCTGTATTTCCTCTATCCTGTAATATGAATTGATCGCTTTAAACTCCGCACACGGAGCTCTGATTGGTCAGCAGGCAGTGCTTTCACTGAGTTGATCTCTTAGCCTGCCACCTAACCTGCTCCGGAGCAGGTTTGCCGCTCAGCATAAGTTACCATGGAAATCTAGCCTGCTAAAAAGAGAACCAGCGTCGTAGGACCGGAAAGCCCGAGATTTCCCTGAAGTTAGCCGGCTAAGCGAAAATCCAGCTTCGTAGTACAGGCCTCCGGTGGAACTAAAGTCTGATTCAAGTGTTGATTATATTTTTACATTAAACCAACATCTGCAAAGTAATTAAATATATTAAATAAATGTAGTGGAGTAAAAGTAAACAATGTACCTCTGTCATGTATTGGAGTATAAGTGCAAAGTAGCAAAACAATTGAAATACTAAAGTACATGTCTCTCAAAATTGTACTTGAGTAAATGTGCTTAGTTACTTTACACCAGTGGTTATATTACTGGTGTTCAAATGTATAATACCCTATTAGGGGGGAAAAGGTGGTTGCTATCAGGGGCGTCGCCTGGACCTGTAAACATTCGGGGCTTAGCCCACAGTGGCGGCGCTACAGTGGAATTGTCTACTGCAACACTCCCCATATAGGTGTAAGCAAGGGGGGTTAAGAGTTCTATGGATACATCTCTCAACACCCATATGAAACAGAACTGTAAACAGATTTACTTTTTCTTATATTTTACAAATCACTCCCCTTTTAAACTGTATTCTTGTTTTACTGTCATATAGTATTTCATAACTGTTTTTCATTTTTCTCTCTGGCTGTCCATCTCATAATGTTCACATAGAAACTAGCTGTCAATAGGAATATCATTCAAAAGAATTATAATTTCATGCAAAAATCTGTCACAAAAAGAGGTTGCACATTTAAATTCAGGTGTTGTTATGGCAACGTCAGTGGCCAAACAGCCACATTTACTGCTGCAAATACGTTCAAACATGCCGTCGACACGTAAAGCAGTGGCAACTATGCCACCATTTCAGCTGACTTTTTCGCATTATTTATTACCAATGTTATCTTCTTGTTAATACATAATGCGTTGTGTAAAAGCCAGGCCCTGATTTTAAAAGGCTCTGCTCGTGCGTGAGGGGCTGCCGTGACGTCAGTACGGCTGTCAGCGCTCAGCCAATCAGCGTACAGTTCCCAGTGTGGCGCTCCTGAATGATACAGACCGGAGGGGTCGTGTGTATATATACAGTCTATGGTGTTAAGTCATGAACTTCACTAACTTCTTCACAGCCATCGTTAAGGTGAGTCTGAATGTTGCTCTGAACTCTTCAACCTTTACGTATAGAGAGCTTTGAGCTGGTCCCTTTATGTCTTATGTGAGCAGACATTATGCAGTTTGAAGTTGGTGGGTGTAACCCTAACCCACTAGCTAACCTAACCATTAGCGTGCATTTGGCTGCTGTCCCTGGTTTACTGACGCACATCGCTTCTATTGGAGAGCTTACCTTTACATTACCTGTTAATGGTGGCTTAATTCTGCTCTGAGATGAATGCTCTGTGTTGCAAGATAAGCTAACTGCTCTCATGTTAGCTTGTGGTTTTGTTGACTTGCTACTAGCTTCGGGAGGCTAGTGATGACAACTTTCTTGCAGAGCTCGGAGCTGGGACGGGCCCTCTGTGGTTTTGGTGACTCATACATAGTTTGAGTTTTGGATGATGTTAGGCTGCTAAGCTCAGTCAAACAGAGAGGGTTCACCCTGGGTCGTTTGCAGAGTTTTGCACTAAAACGTTTTAGAGTCACTTGAGCTTTGATCACCTGTGCTGCTGCAGCTGTATCCAGAAAGGAACTAAAATGAGCTCTGAGCAGCTGCAGATATACTTAAAGTATGTAATGGATTATATGGAGATACGCACTCAGGATTCAGTTCAGTAGGTCAGCATGACGAGACAGAACATTTCTCAGGAGCCAAATGTCAGGGCTGAGATTCTTGCCAAAGTTATTTTTAGCCCTGCTGACCTAACGTTGGTCGTTGCAACTCAAGTCAGTACAAGCTAGAGTGGTCTGCTAATGCACACTTTCCTGCAACATAACGAAAAATGTGAAAATCCAAACCAAGCGTTTGCACAAGGCTCAACTGTAACCTGAGTATGGCACGACAACAAATAACAAAGTTAGAACAATTTACCCTTGGTTTTGTATTTCCACATTGAATGCTTGTTGAGATAGCAGGATATTCTATTAGGGTGTGCACTGCATGCAAGAAATAAGATTAATAGTTGGATGGAGTTTTATTAGAGAAAAGTTTCATCTTTACATCTAAATAAAGGTACCAGTTTATTAGGTACACCTAGCTAAATCAAATGCAGTCTAATAAAACAATTGTGTAATAAATCAATCTTTATGATTGTTTTAGTCAAACTGTACAAGAGGTGTTTATTCAACTATTTGTTCATTTTGAAGATCATACCGTTGAACCTCTAAAACTGAACATTACTGCCGAAGAGGTAGGGTTTATTGCAGGATTGTTATTAGATTGCATTAGTTTTGCTAGATTAACCAAATATAAAAATATGTGAGTATTTGTATTATATTGTTGATCTGTATCTAAATACAGAACAATATGCAGCAGAAACAGGGGCATGTAAACGTCCTTTACCATTAAACTATTGTTACCACTATGACTATAACAATCTTCAACACTGATTTCAACCATTCCAGTTTCTCACCACTCCCATCTGTGGTCTGAAAGTACACTTCAAGACTGACCTGACATTTAAAAAAAAAAATCAAATTATTATCCCCTTGCTGCCGCTAACATAAACACAAATATTTACTTTTAAACTTGTGAGCTGGCTGCATTTCACCACATGGGAACGGCATTACGTTTTGTCTAATGTTCGGCTCAGTAACCATCCAGGGTGTTCTCCAGCACAACTGCAGTTCTCAACAACCGGTTTAATCCATTGAACCAATTTAATGTGAATCGCTCACATGACTGGCATAATATGTGAACAGTGGTTGTTAGGGATGGAGTTTTAATCCCAAAGATTGGATATGATTGAGACATTGATACTTACATATTAAAAAGTGGACTGGGTTTGTGGGTTGGTGTTATATACCAAAACAAATCCTCACCTACATAAGGTTATTTTTAAGGTATTTAAGGTCCTTCTACAAACTGTCCCAACTTGTAATTTAACCTCATAATCTCTTTCTGTTTTTCAATGTTTGCCTAATGGTTCACAGAGAGACCACTTTGTTCTGTGCAGGTGAACGCTAAGTGTTTTTCTCTCTGTGCCTGCAGAGCAGCTTCAGCCATGCCTGTGACGTCTCAGCTGCTCAGGGGTTTGCCTCGTGCCAAGCTCTTGGCCTCCGGTCTGCTACCATTCCAACAACACCAGTCCCAGCTAGGACCTATTACTAACCGACCACCCTCAAGATGGCCCTCTCGTGTATCGCAGAGCCATCAGCACTCGAGAAGTTACCAGACAACCTCAGAGCTCCGCAGTTACATCCTCACACCGCCGCAGGTCAACTCCATCCTGAAAGCCAACGAGTACAGCTTCAAGGTTTGTGGTGATTCACGCAAACATAAAGCACATCTGGCTTTCTCTCTATGTTTACATTTTCATCTTACCATTTTATATGATGATTCCAGGTGCCAGAGTTCGATGGGAAGAATGTATCATCAGTGATGGGCTTTGAGAGTAATCAGCTGCCGGCCAACGCTCCTATAGAAGACCGCCGAAGTGCAGCCACCTGCCTGCAGACGAGAGGAATGCTGCTGGGTGTGTTTGACGGCCATGCTGGCTGTGCCTGTGCACAGGTAACGCTGACTGTTACATGTACTGTTCTTGAGAGGCATTGTTTAAAACTCAAAACATCATTATACATCTCCAGTGATGAGCCCTTGACCTCATACCCTCTCCCTATTAATAACACAGGATTGCTGTATCTTCCAAATGTAATAGAGACAGATGTTTCTTTAATTCTAAAGGGACTATCTTGTTGAGTCAAATATCTTTAACTAACTTGCACACATTAATGATTTAGTTTGTGGCATGCACAGAAGCACCTGAGGAAATTAAGTTTGTAACCTGGCTGGTTGGAGGTTAAGAGCTTACTACTCTTTACAGACACTAGGAAACATACCAAGTAATATTTAAGAAATGGAGATGTTAGACCTGACACATTTCCGTTCCAACTACAACAAGACAACTACATTTTTGTTTTTTCTTAGTTATTTCTCTACACCCTGATGCATCAACATTATATGTCCTCTTCTCTGCCAGGCGCTGAGTGAGAGGTTGTTTTACTACATCGCGGTGTCTCTGCTGCCCCATGACACCCTGTGTGAGCTGGAAGCAGCGGTGGAGGATGGCAGGGCCCTCAGTCCTATCCTGCAGTGGCACAAACACCCCAACGACTACTTCAGCAAGGAGGCTCAGACTCTCTACTTCAACAGCCTCCGAACATACTGGCAGGAGCTAATAGATCTGACCAGGTGAGAATCAGAGGATACACAACAAAGTCTGAAACAACAACACTGAGGCACACATGCAGGCTCCTTCATTAACTTCAGTGAGACCGGTATGTTATCACAACTGCACTTAAGGCACTGCCAACAAACAGGGCACTGTCTGCTGGAGATGATTCTTAGGCTGTGCAAATACTTGGTTTAGAAATGTGTAATTTAAGAAGTCTGGTTAGTTGGCTTTGTCGACAATTCAGACTCTACTTCCTGGTTTCCTATTTCATCTTCATCTGTACCTTATAGCAACACCCTCACACCAACACTGGCCCGTTATTTTGCCAATAGTGCCGTTATCTGTTCTCGACCTTTCTTTCTGTGTGGTTAACACATATTACTCTCATTTTTTCAGCCCGGGCGACGTTCCAGACACACACGAGGCGCTGCTGAACGCCTTCAAGAGGCTGGACAACGACATTTCCCTGGAGGCTCAGGTAGAAACTCTCAGCTGTCTTAAAGTGAAACGCAGGGGTGTCAAACTCAAAGCCCGCGGGCCAAATCCGACCCGGGCCCGCAAGAGCTTGCAATGAATATAATACGTTTATTATACAGTTACATGCCGCTTTACAGAAGCACGTTGCCCATAAACTACATGTCCCACAATGCATCTAATTTTGTGACAGGCACAATGAAGACACTTGCAATTATATAATATAATACATCATTTTATATATATTATATATGTATATTTATATAGTCTTAAAGTTAAAACAGGCCCTTTGAGTGCAACCATAATGCTAATGTGGCCCGCTATGAAATTGAGTTTGATACCTCTGTTCTAAAGTAACAAAGTCATTCTTAGTTTTTGGTGATTTTACACAAATTAAAACATAATTTCCAAATATCTTATTCCGTTCCCCTAAATATTTTACACTTTTAAGATGCATATTGAATATCGCTGTTGCACCATGGCAGCAGTACAAATAAATTCTAGGCATCCAAATGTAAACTTTTATGGATTAAAGAGGAACTCAAGTGTCCTTCCCTCTCCATGTAATTTAAACGATGTACCCTATCCTGTCTGCAGCCTCATAGTGTCTCTCTCCCCGCAGGTTGGAGACCCCAACGCTTTCCTGAACTACTGGGTTCTGAGGGTTGCCTTTTCTGGAGCAACGGCCTGCGTGGCTCACATCGATGGATCAGACCTGTAAGGAGGACAAACACTTCCACATGTTCCTGTCTATGTGATTAGCTAAATATATGTTGTAACTAAACTGATGTTTTTCCTTACTGTTTTTAAAGGTACATTGCCAACTCAGGAGACGCTCGGGCAGTGTTGGGGGTGCAGGAGGAGGACGGTTCGTTCACCGCTCACACACTCTCTAACGACCACAGCGCCCAGAATGAGGAAGAGGTGGCCCGGATACGAGCTGAACACCCCCCTTCAGAGAAGAAGACAGTTATACGACAGGTAATACCTCCACCAATGTGCTTTATGTAAGCATCTGCAGTCTCCGAAGCCTGATAAGGATGTGTGTGTACAAAACGCAACAAACTCTTACTGATATGTGCTGGGTCCAGGCTCAAGGGCATATGGCACTCTCAACTCTTTCCAGCACATGCCGGGGCCCTGCCTGCCAGTAGCTTTGCCGATATCTGTGTTGATAGGTAATAGATTAAGAGCGGTAAATCAGCTTAGAAACAGGAAGTGCTCAAACGTTTGTGTGAGGTTATCAAATTTAGCAGTGATTCCATGTCAGCCACAGCTTGTCACAAAAAATCTTACTGATAGTGTATTTAACAAACTTAAACTAGCTTTATTAAATGTCAGGTCTTTGGCAGGAAAAACATTTTTAATCAATGATTTTATCACTGAGCACAATCTCGATTTTATGTTTTTAACGGAAACTTGGATTGAACAAAATAACAGTGCAGCTGTTCTTATCGAATCAACCCCTCCCAACTTTAGTTTTATGAGTCAGGAAAGAATGCATAAGAAAGGGGGTGGAGTTGCTATTTTGTTCAATGATTCCCTTCAATGCAGGAAGACATCTTATGGGGACTTTGCTTCTTTTGAATATGTGGCCCTTCAGCTGAAATGCTCCTCTCGAGCTCTGTTCCTAAATATCTATAGACCACCCAAATACTGTGCAAGCTTTTTTGATGATTTTACTGAACTGCTGTCTATAGTGTGTATTGACTTTGACCGTCTAGTCATTGTTGGTGATTTTAACATCCATGTTGACAACCCCCAGGACAGAGGGGCTAAAGAACTGTTCTGTGTTCTTGATAACTATGGACTGACTCAGCATGTGGCGGAGCCCACGCACAATAAGGGGCACACTCTGGACTTAATTATCTCAAAGGGTCTGAATATCTCAAAGGTTGTGGTGACTGATGTTGCACTCTCTGATCATTCCTGTGTTTTCTTTGAGAGCTCTATTTCTGTTCACAAAAATGTTCAGAAAGAGGTAACCACAAAGCGATATTTAACTGAAAATACTAGGGAAATGTTTACTCATAATTTTCATCCACACTTGCCCCTGCTAACATCTCAGTAAATGAGCTAGTAGATCATTTTAATTCAAAAATTAAAAATGTTATAGATACCATTGCTCCAACTAAGGTAAAGGAAGTGATTTTTCAAAGATGTTTTTCCTTGCATGGCCTCAGATCTACTTCATATAGTAAACACATCTCTTCACTCAGGTATTTTTCCAGAGGCCCTGAAAACTGCAGTCATTAAACCGCTCTTAAAAAAGAATAATCTAGATGCTTCAGTAATGAACAATTACAGGCCAATATCAAACCTGCCATTTCTAGGTAAAATCATTGAAAAAGTAGTATTTCAACAGTTGAGTAAGTTCTTACATTTAAATAACTGTTTCGATGTGTTCCAGTCAGGATTTCGTCCAAACCACAGCACTGAGACTGCTCTTGTAAAGGTCTTCAATGACATCCACTTAAACACAGACAGTGGCAGAACTTCAGTGTTAGTATTATTAGATCTCAGTGCTGCGTTTGACACTGTTGACCACAACATATTACTAGACCGACTAGAAAACTGGGTGGGACTTTCGGCAACAGTTCTAAACTGGTTTGAGTCCTACTTAAAGGACAGAAAAAACGTTGTTTCTATAGGTAAATACACATCTGAGTTGACAAATATGACATGTGGGGTACCTCAAGGCTCCATCTGGGGCCTCTTCTCTTTAACATCTACATGCTACCACTGGCTCAGATAATGAAAAACAACAAAATAAGTTACCATAGCTATGCGGATGACACACAAATTTACGTAACAATTTCACCAGGAAATTATGCTCCAATTCAAACACTGAGTAAGTACATTGAACAAATCAATGACTGGATGTGTCAGAACTTTCTCCAATTAAACAAAGATAAAACTGAGGTAATGGTTTTTGGAGCCAAGGCAGAACGTATAAAAGTTAGCGCTGAGCTTCAGTCTGCAATGTTCAAAACAACAGATAAAGCCAGAAATCTAGGTGTAGTCATGGACTCTGACCTGAGTTTCAACAGTCACATTAAAACAGTTACTAAATCAGCCTACTATCACCTAAAGAACATATCTAGGATTAAAAGACTAATGTCACAGCAGGATTTGGAAAAACTTGTCCATGCTTTTATCTTCAGTAGACTCGACTACTGCAATGGTGTCTTTACAGGTCTCACTAAAAAATCTATTAGAAAGCTGCAGCTAATTCAGAACGCCGCTGCTCGAGTCCTCACTAACACTAAGAAAGTGGATCACATCACTCCAGTTCTGAAGTCCGTACACTGGCTTCCTGTGTGTCAAAGAATAGATTTCAAAATATTGTTGCTGGTTTATAAAGCTTTGAATGGTTTAGGCCCAAAATACATTTCTGACCTCCTGCTAAATTATGAACCATCCAGAACTCTCAGGTCTTCAGGGACTGGTCAGCTTTCTGTCCCCAGAGTCAGAACTAAACATGGAGAAGCAGCGTTCAGTTATTATGCTCCAAATATCTGCAACAAACTCCCAGAAACCTGCAGGTCCGCTGCAACTCTTACTACTTTTAAATCCAGGCTGAAGACTTTTCTTTTTGCCGCTGCTTTTAATTGAACTATTCACATCTTAAACTGCACTGTAACTTTTAACTTTTATCCATGTATTTTTTCTTTTAATGTTTCTTTTATTATCTTTTCTTTTTTAATGACTGATTTTAAATGCCATTTTCATAATGTCTTCCATTTTTGTAAAGCACTTTGAATTGCCTTGTGTTGAAAGGTGCTATATAAATAAACTTGCCTTGCCTTGCCTTGCCTTATGTGGTTGTTGTTGCAGCATTTATTAAAACCCCCCCTCCCCTCTTTATCAGGACCGGTTGCTCGGCCTGCTCATGCCGCTGCGTGCTTTTGGAGATGTGAAGTTCAAGTGGAGTATTGAGCTGCAGAAGTGTGTGTTGGAGTCCGGGCCCGATCAGCTCCATGAAAACGAGCACTGCAAGTTTATCCCTCCAAACTACCACACCCCCCCCCTACCTGACCGCCGAGCCGGAGATCACGCACCACAAACTGCGGCCACAGGACCGCTTCATGGTGAGGGGAGACAAATCCGCCCTGTGTTTGTTTAAAAAAAGTAATGGCAGTAACTTTTCCTAAAGGAGATTCCTACCCTTAAATTCAGACTTTATTACTATTTGTTCAACTTTTCCCACACATTTCAAACGTAGATGCCCCACTAAAAGGTGCTCGGAGTAGACGACTTTTCCACAAATTGTATAAAAGCATTCAAGGGAGACCTATTTGAATCGCTGAGTTAATCAAGATTATATTCCTTTTCTGAACAACATTAATTTCTAGTCGCAGTATTAGTCAAATTGGATAATAAATATTCAGAAATAAAGCAAATTTACTGTTCTAACTCGAGGCATGACAACGTATGTGAGTAACTTAGCTTATCTGATGTTACATTCGTGTGTTTTCTGATTCCTCTTGTTTCTGTCCCTGCAGGTGATTGGCTCCGACGGCCTCTGGGAGACGCTCCACAGACAGGAAGTGGTTCGTATTGTGGGGGAGTATATAACAGGGGTGTCCCAGCGTCAGCCCCTCAAAGTGGGGGGCTACAAGGTCTCCCTGGGACAGATGCAGGAGCTGCTCGACGAGAGAAAGGCTCGCGAGTCTTCGGCTTTCGAGGATCAGAACTCAGCGACCCACCTGATACGCCACTCGGTGGGAAACAACGAATTCGGCACGGTTGACCACGAGAGACTGTCGAAAATGCTGTCGCTGCCCGAGGAGCTGGCTCGCATGTACCGCGATGACATCACCATTATCATCTCTCAGTTTAACCCTCATGTGATCGGAGCCCAGAGACAAGACGGGCAGTCCTGAGCTGTGTTTCACTGCAGATAACGCACATTTATGTAACTGTGTACTTGTACACATAAGCCCACTGTGGACAAACAGGCCATAATGACAAAATATCTGTCCAGCAGAATTGTTTTATCTCTATTTAAGTAAATACCTTGTATATTTGTATGCAGTGCTACAGAAGAACCAGTTCCTCGTGAAGATCTTCGTTGGATGGAAGTCAATTATATGACGCTATTTATGCTGCCAACATCCTCTGGCAACCCTTGCATACACACCTCTCTGCGTGGCTGATAAAGACGCTGTTACAAACTGACTTTTGTGCCAAAAGACTCGACCTCCTCGTCTGCTGAAAGACTCGGGTTGAAATTGTAGATCTTCCAAAAGAGCGTAAGGGTTGGGACTCGATGCAGCACTGACTCAACCTGATTCTCTGATATGGACTCAAACTGGGCTGTGCCATTGTAACACCAACACTCTTTCTCAGGTGTTATTTCCAACTCACTCAAAATGTGTGTCTGCCCCTGTATCTGCTTAACATGCACGTGTTCTGCATTTACACTTAAGTATTTGGATGATTGACTCCAATGCCCTGTATTTCAAGTAGCTGCAAGATGTAGAGGTGAAGTCCGCCTTTCTGGGAAAATGTTATTGATATTTGATCTCCTCACCCACACAAATGCACCCCACTCAGTGCTGTTGGCATGTGCCAGATTTACATCCTTGACCTTTTCACGCCCCCTGTTGCTGATTGGCTGGATTAGTGTTGTTGTTGCTCTGAGCTACTTTGTTTGTTTCCCATTTACAAACCTGTGTATGATCCACAGATTCATTTTTATTTTTTTCAGTGCATAAACAGAACTGAAAGCCAGCAGATCGTAATAAGATATTGACTGAATTTGACAAAAGGTGTCACTGACTCCAACTTTAAATTGCTGACGTTAAGCTTTAAAGTGCTCTCTTCCATATTGGCACTCTAGTGAACATCCTGTGGGGAAACAATATGCTAAAACACAGAGCAATACAATAGTCCTCCAAATATTGACCGACTACACACTTATGTACTGAAAGGAGGACATGCATGTGCACAACAGGTATATTGTCTGAGTGGTGATTAGGTGAATTACGGTTCATATATATACATATATAATACAACCCTAAGTTAAATGAGAGTTTTGTAGCTTTTTTTCCAAGCTTTATGGGTTAAAAGGGATGCTTGTTTAGGGTTCATCTTGCATTATATTATTTATTAAGCATTTTCAGTTTGGGTGACAGGTGATGGTTTGATTTATATATGCCAGCTTTGTTGAAAGCAGAAGCACTCTCCTGATACTCTCCAGTTAAACACTAAGAACGGGGTCGAAGCGTTGTGTTCAAGTGCGTTTGAGCCCACAGGAAAGAGCAGAATGTACATTTGAAAGCAGCCGTTTGAATATCAGATTATTTTAAAAGCTTTTACAGTACATGTATGTTACACATCTTTATCTACAGTTGTATGTATGAAATGTAACTTATGTTTTGTATATGGAAATGCTTTAATAAAACACATAATACACACCACTGGTTACAGCTGTGTTGTGTTTTGGTTGACACAGACTTGGTGGTGAACACACTGCCGCGCCCCTGAATGCAGCAGGATGTCCCGCTAACCGACAGCCACCTGAGGTCAGTGTGTGTCAGGCAGGCAGGTCTCAGGTTGCAAGTGTGCCGCTCTCTGCTCAGTTTACATCAGTACATCTTATTATACTTTATTATAGGGCTTAGTCGAATACTCGATTCCGATTGGTCAATTTACATTTCGGAGATTGTGAATACTCTCTAACTCGATAACATGACCGTTGCTAAGGAGGATCAAGGGAGTATGTGCAGTCATATCAATCGTCAGCTGTGAATGCTTCTTTTCACAACATAATCTTGTATTTTCTAATCCTAAAATAGTGGATATTTGTCATGGCATAGGCTACTATACTAGGACTCTTTTGTGATTATTTGTTTTACATACTTGACTGTAGTATAAATATTCCTAATGATATATAAACATGAATTTACAGAGTGCAACTTCCTTTTTAGAATAATGTACATAAATTCACATTTGCCATTGCAGCTCTCCTACCTCAAAGGCTGAGAGATACTAAATGAAGTACAGATAAAGGTCGTTCTTCATACTGAATTGCGACCACTGTATGGTGTCCTTCAACACACCGTGTTTTGTCTGTGGATAAAATACCTCATGTTCAGATTGTATTCTTCTGCCTCTGTCTGCTGGGTATTTAAAGTTGAAGGTTAACTTCACTCTGCTTGAGACAACATTGGCTGGGAAGCAAAAGACTGTATTCCAAAAGAGTCCGAATTTTCTTTCTGGTAATACTTATATATATTTATATAATTTATTTTTACCCCACTAACATTCTCAATGCAGGATATTTAATTGTAATGAGATACATTTACCATTGTATTTCCTCCACCACTGACAGTGACAGCACCACGAACACAGTGGTTTGATTTGTTATTTTCAGGAGACAGTCAGTGAACCACCACTAGATGCTGCTGCAGTATCAGACATGCCAAAGTGTCGAATAAGAGACAAGGTCATGGATTTATTTGAATATTTACATTATTACGCATCAATTGTTAGTTTGACAAATACTTTTTTACAGCAAAATATCTTTATCACTAATACAACAACCAAAAGGACTCTCAAGGTTTTTGAAAACATAAAATAACTTTTTTTTAAAGAACATTGATAACCTCTTATGAAAAAGTATACATGAAACTGCAAACTGGCTGATTTTATTGCATCTGTGTTACTGTGACAAAGAATCTCTTGTATGATTCCTGATAGCGACACATTGTATGAAACATATTGTAGGACATTGCAGACTTTAAATAGTTTTGCAGTGGGATTGAGTTACAATAGTCCCTGAGAAAAGAAACGTGGGTTTGATCATCATCACGTCGTCAGAGTGTTTGATTTATAAGGGCCATGCGCTCAGTTTCTCCGAAATAAACATAATGTTTGATCAGATGTTATGCCTCATCCCCGGATGTTTTTCCAGGACTAGGTTATAGAAGCAGAATGAGTGACTTAACTTTAAGGAATGTGTTTATGTGCAGCCTTCTTTTCCGTTGGATTAAGGTGCACAACGTGTAATACAAATCCTCCCACACAGCTGTCTCTCTTATTTACAATAATATAACAGAACTAATCACCCAATTCAGTTAAAGTAATCTACCACAAGGGGCAGCCAAAGTGTGTCAGGCCTCCAATGTGAAAATGAAAACTCACTGTTTAAAATGACGCATTCGTTTTTATACAGACAGAACTAGATAGAGTTTATTTAAAAAGTCACACAAGTACGTAAAGTACAGATATGTTTATTTGTATCCCGGGGAATAAAAAGTACACATAGGCTTTCAATATGTTGCGAGTTCTTCTGCAAAATTTCAGTTTGGTGATCTAGCTTTTAGTTTACTGCAATGTCAAGGGAAAGGGGGGTTTAACTAATAAGTAATATCCCACATATAAAATAATGATTTTTGAAGAAGAATAAAGTGGTGGAACACTTCTAAATAGTGGAATAAACTAATTAATAAACTGCAATAATGAAAGATGGAAAGCTAACATTTTTTGATTATAAAATTAGATAATATATATTTTATTTACTCCAAATATTTACATTTATTTTCACTTCTCTCCCTGTAGACATTTATTTGTAACTTCAGTGTCAACTGTAACGTGACTAAGGATTTCCTCATGGACGTTGTGATACTTGTACATGACTTCTGTAGCATATTTATGTAACTGTGAAAATAATCTCTTGAGTGTGCTCTCACATGTTGCGTACAGTACTTTGGATTTAAGCCAGATGTTTAGTTCTTGTGAACATTGTGTTTTGTTTGCGTTAATGCCGCTTGACCTTGAATATTATAAAGCATGATAAAAATACTTTTCAAATGAGACACAAACGATGATTTACTGACATCTTTTTGACATAACTTGTAAATATACATTAAAAGATGGTGTCAAATAAATAAAAGCACTGCTGATTGTGATGGTGATACAACAACATAGTATTTCTTTATTAGGATAAAAGGGTTCGCAGCACATTGGGGGGAAACATGTTGGACGAAAACAATTGTGTGTGACTGCGTGGTGATGGTGAGGTCTGACATCCAGAGGGGTCGGGTCATCCATCACACAGTTTACTCTACCTGTCTTCCCTCCACCTCTTCTCTATTAACTTGAACCTCTTTCACAAGTTCTCAACGACTGTGAGTGTGTGTGTGTGTGTTGTTGTGGAAAGTGTTGCCGGGATACAGGCAAGGAGAGAGTGCAGACATAAACACAGGAGGGGCTACATGTTGAGTTTTTGGTGATGTGGTTCACTCACTGTTCTCCGTTTTGCTTTCGGTAGCTGCAACAGGTCACATTCAATGACTCATCTCACACGTACACGCACGCACACACACACACACACACACACACACACACACACACACACACACACAGACATGGCACAAGGTCAGGTAGGACGGTGATTCAAGACAGTTTTATGTGCAGTGTTGGAAACTAGTTGCTAGTACGGTACTTGAGTACAGTTTTAAGGTACTTTTATTCACTTGAGTATTTCAATTTTTGTCTTTGATTATACTCAAACTCCACCACACTCTACTTTTTACTAATACATTTATCTGACCTCTTTAATTAATTGGGGATTCATCATTATATATATCATTGAACATGAAATATAAATCAACTAATAAATGATGATGTATTACTATAGATTACGCTGCCCAAAAGTATATATATATATATATATATATATATATACATATAACATATTATTGTCTCAATAATAACGATTCAATAATGTCATTTATATTCTGAAATGGGCCAGTCTGCATAATGCGTATTTTTACATTTCAAGTATATTTTGATGCAAATATTTTTGTGAGATTTCTAATACAGAAGCTGTAACGGTGTATTTCCACACTGTGGTCATGCTACTTTTACTTTGACCTCCCCCACTGCACATGTTGAACATTGAAACTCTCACATGTGGTTTTGAGAGGGATTTTTTTGTTGTGGCCTTTTTGTGCTGCATAAAAGCCCACAATCATGCCAATTAATCCTTTCAGCACTGTGGCCCGTCGCCCACTGTCACAAGAGATGACTCAGAGTCGCTCTGTGCAGCACCAAGGCCTCGATTGCCCAGCGACAGACTGGCATTGAGGTGGGGGGCAAAAACAGATGCAATAGTACTGACTATTAAAAGTCCCATGTCATGGCCATTTCTACTGATCATAATTCCATTGTTGAGGTATACTAGAATAGATTTATATTGTGCAATTTTCCAAACTCACATTGGTTTCTCATACAGCATCTCTGTATAGCATGTGTATTCACTCTCTGTCCTAAACGGCTTGTTGGAGCTCCTTCAGACTTCCTTACAGAGCCCCTCCTCCAACACACACGGACGCGCACATGACCAATGAGGGCACGAGATAAGTTTGTGCACAGATGGAAGGCTGACAGGCAGGTAGGCCATCCAGTTATTTTAGCCGGGCCGGCTCGGCTCAGATGATTGGTCGTGCTTTTTACAGCGCCACGACTTCAGATGACTTTTTTTAATGTATTTATTGTCAAAGCATTTAATTTATTCATTGCTATCGGGATGTTAAGAGTATTCCATGGAATATAACAAAAAGTGTTTCTGAAGTGAATTACCTATACCACCTTTAAGCACAGAATAAATGTTAGTCGGAAATGGACTGGAGTGGAGAAAAACGTATTTGAAGTCTCAATGTTTGAAAGATCTGCTGCATCTAATTTCTTATCTGACATGCACCGTATGTACTTCACACACACCTACACAGGCAGCATACACACACACACACACACACACACACACACACACACACACACACACACACACACACACACACACACACACACACACACACACACACACACACACACACACACACACACACACACACACACACACACACACACACACACATAATGATAATGTGAAAACAAAAGTGTTCCCCAGTTTCTTATTTTATTTGGAAACAAAGCAATGACTACTCCTTACAAAACACAGCAGTTATTGTTCAATACAGACAGCGACATTCTGGGTTTAAGATGTTTCTAAATAATAAGATATTTCCAGCTGTAACAACACATTAAGGCAGAAGAGAATTACTTACAAACGGTCTGGGCCAAAAACAAATTGGAATATGTGAGATAGTTTACCTGCTAATTAAACAACCCGAGTCTAGGAGTGAACTTCAAATAAAATATGTTAACAAGCTTTATAAATGCATGATTAGCATGGGGCCACCTGACAGTTATTAAGTGTGCACAGCACTTAACTCTCTCTTGTAAATACAATAAAATAATGTTATGTTAATATGTGTGTGTGTGTGTGTGTTGGTGTGTGTGTGTGTGATTTTGTGTGTGTGAGTGTGTGTTTGTGTGTGCGTGTGGTCTCTAATTAATGGGATTCTTCTCTTCTTCATCCTCATTCACGTTTCTCTTCTTGTTCCCTTTA